AACATCTAGCGATGTAAAGTCAAATGTAACGACATACACACAAACGGACGACGTAAACTAACATCTAGCGATGTAAAGTCAAATGTAACGACATACACACAAACTGACGACGTAAATTATCTAGCGACATAAACTAACATGTAGCGACCTGAACTCAAATGTAAACTGACGACGTAAACACGGATATGGTGGTGCAAACGCAAAGATTGAAGTCTATACACAAATGTGGAAGTGAAGAAAATAACGCGGGAGATGTTAATTCCAAGTAATCCATATTCTCCGTCGAATATATTTTTCCATCAAAAGCCTCATCAGATGATCCGGTGGAGGCCGTCAACCCCTAGCCTAACCTAGCCTAGCCCCGCTGACCACACACCACTTGGTGATATCTCTCTTCCCTTGATTACTTCTCAGTGCTCTGCCTCTTCTTCTACTTCTTCTCCCTGACTTAATGTTAAGTTAAATGAGCAGTGTCCAGGCGAAATATGAAAGCACCACTAGCATCAAGATGGAACCAGTACTTCCTCTGCCTTCTGGCACCCAGACGGCATCAGTGTTCCGTCTGTTGTGTGGCACCCAGATGGATCCAGTACATATTTATTTATTTATATATACAAGAGTTTTTACATTCTTGTACAGCCACTAGCACCCATAGCGTTTCGGGAAAGTCCTAAATCCTAATTTTCACATACACACATCCCCAGGAAGCAGCCCGTAGCAGCTGTCTAACTCCTAGGTACCTATTTACTGCTAGTCTAAATTGTACATTTAAAAACATATTTCAACGAAATTACACTACTGCATCAAATATCAGACATTTTAATTTACGAATTTGTAAATGCAACTTTCTATTGCTCACTATCACACAGGACAGGAATGGATTAATAATAGATCCAGTTAAAAAATAAATCCCTCCCCTTCTTTCTTTTCTTCTACTCTTTCAACAAGCACAGTTGGATCAGGGACTGCGGCAACGTCGAAGCTGATAATAAAAACAGTTGCTAACGATACTGAGATAGACCGTGACGTACGCTGCTGCTATTATTAACATCTGCGTAAAACTACTATTTACTGATAAAAACATCGCTCTTGCCAACATCGTCGAGGGAGGAAATGGAGGAAGCGACATTATTATTATTATTAACATATTTATTGACAAATTGAATTACAATTTTGCCATTCAGTAGTAGAACAGCTCGCGACCCAACTCTGGTGTTTACCTTGTCAAGGGGGAAGTAGAAATAGCCTAACCTACTCTATCCTTTTGAGATGTATTTTCTTGTCTCAATAAACATACTTGAACTTGAATTTACCTTGTTGCTAACTCACAAACAGCGAAATGTCAACACAAAAAAAGTCAGGAATATTTTAGGTAAACATTGAGATAAGTACTTTCAAAACATATGCTAGGAATAGCTTGTTGTTGTTGTTTAAGATTCAGCTACTCGGAAGAAAACTTTCTAAATAGCACGGGCTATGGTGAGCCCGTAGCGGACTTACCTGGCACAGGAGCAGGGCTGTAACTGGAATAGCTTGTGGGGGGAAGGCTGAGAGGAATCACGGGTATTCAGAGTTCAGTGAGTCTGAACTCTCGTCCATGCTTCAAAATAATGTATACATATACACACACCTTATCCAGCATGTTTTCTAGTATATTATCTAGAAACTTTCTAGTATGTTTACTTCTGTAATGTTATTTGGTAAGAAAAGTTTAAACGTCATCAGTTGTGAGTACAAGCCCGTCCCATAAACAAAGGCCAAATGCTCGTTAATGCAGACGCCAAACCCCGTTTATAAATGAAAAACACTTTACACAAGACTCAGAAATGATGACGTACGAACATTTGTCAATCTCCATAGCAATTTTCTTAACAGTTGGAAAACTGTGAGACAAATCCCACACTTTAGACAAAATTTTACAACTGACTATTACAGCCTTCTAAAACAGTGTTAATTTACTAATTGACAACATATTCGTAGCTACTATTATATTTCTACATAGTACTTGCCAATTCGTAATCAATATTGTTCCATGTTTGACACCAGCAAATCCCGAGAGCTTTAATAGACTCACCTATCGTGAACCATGAACCTGTCCAGGTAACTTTATTACATCAACTGCCAAGCCACATCCCAGACGTACCGATCGTTCTATTGAAAATGGTTTGCTGAAGACACCATTGATACTTACGCTACTCCGACACTGTTTATAAAGCATATGGATCCAATCTATAAATTCTTGTGCCACTCCTACCCTATCCAATATTTCTAATACAAACTGAACATCAACACGGTCAAAAGCTTTCGACCAGTCGAGGTTTATCATGAAAGATCATTATTCTCAGACAATACATAACATTCCTAATTACATTATTACAATTGATTATGGATCTTCCAGGCACACCACAGAAATATTCCTTGGATATAATTTTATCCATTACAATCTTAAGTCTATTCGCCAACAATTTCGAAATTATTTTGTAATCCTGGTTGAGCAAGAAAAGTGGCCTCCAGTTTGTTAGAATATGCAAATCATCTTTTTTTGATAGCATACACATTAAGCAGAGGAATTATGGTGTCAAAAAAGGAAATCCTCGCATATAAAACATTACCATTATCATCCATTTCGGTATTAAGAACCTTCATGTGGGCCTGTTTAGCAATCAATATCATCGTACCACCTTTCAACAGGTTCGTAGGATTTATTAGAATTTCAAAGTAAACAAGCAGCACCTCAAGTTTCTTAACGTCTTGTACATTGTGTTCTTACACTAAAAGCACATACAATTTATGATATTTAAACATAAATATTAGTTGCAGCTGTTTGATTCTACAATTGAGCCCATTAATGTTTAGAGTAGCACAATTAAAATAAATAGGCTTCCAGAATGTAATTTTGAGGGAAAAGAAATTACTCTATAGTGAGCATTATCTCACTAGACACCGAATGTCATCTTTCCCTTTTCAAACTTTAAGTTAAATATTTTCCCTCACGGCTCAATTCTGTTCATGTTCCACAACATCCCACCACACATTATCGTTGTCATCTTTAACATGATCTACATAGTTTTTGCTACATAGCCTTCCCGGTTTGGTGCCTTCCTTTGATAATTACTTATTTATTTTAACATGATCACCACTCACCGGTTATACTGTGCCTTCGCTACTTTTCAGTAACTCCTCGTGACCTTGGACACGGTGAACTTCAAGGGCAACCACCTGGTCAAGTTTTTCGCAAACTTTTAATTTAGCAGCACAGTCCTTCATACGTTTCAAATCAATACTCTGGGTTAATTTTTTCCCACGTGTCTTCACATGACTGGTTACACAACCAGCTTTCACACGGCCCTTACCCATTCTATCGGATCTTACAGAAGAGGGTGGAGCTACCCTCTGCACAGCTTCAGCATCGCAGCTCTGGGCAACTGCCGTGACTATGTTATGGCGTCCACATGTACATTGTCCTGACTTACCTCACCCTCACCAGGACGGATGACAGCAGTTATAGTGTCCTGAGCAGTGTCGCCTGCACCGTCCTTGTCTGCTTCACCGTTATCGTCCTGATCTAAGTCTCCTGCACCGTTTTAACTCGCACTGGGAGACAATTCCAGAGACATTTCACGAATAGTTTTGGGTTACTTCATCCACCCCTCCTGGGACTGCAGCACTTACCTCAGTGGGTTCATGTTCTGTAACACTGTTCTCCATTAATGGCAGAAAGTCATGTTCACGAAAAATGTTAATACGTTCTGTTGTCTCCACCTGGCAGGCAGCAGCCAAGTGACCAGTACGCCCACACTTGAAACAAGTTTTCAGTTGTCCATTGTAGATAAATTTAATATATTGACCTGCTACGGACACTGATGAAGGGATATTACGGTGAAGTTTCATTTTCGCTGTTCTTGTACCATTGAAACATCCTTTTCCTATTCCACAAGTATATTTATTGAAATGAACATTGTCCACTTTTCCATATTGTTCAAGTATGCGAGTTCCATTCGACATTTCAAAGGGCTCATCCCTCACAGAAACATGTAAACATCTTGCTCAAATTAATCACTTGCACCGATCCTTTCCCATTCGGCAGACTGAGGTCATCATCATACTTCTTCAGAAACTAAGAAAACGTCACACTGTTTTCAAATTTCACCACCACTCTGTTTCCTGACAGTGGTTGGAAACCAAACAATTTCTCAATCTTGATCTGTACCACATCGAAGATCGTAGTGCAAACAAAACCATAATCAGTGAGTCCAACACACTCCTTCGGCTTAAGTCGAGGTGTGTATAGGAGCCCATGACAGCACATACACCACCCCAATATTGACCTCACAAGTGAGGCTACAGGCTAAATCAGCCAAACACGCCAGCCGGAGAGTGACGACAAACACGTCTGCTCAACACCACGTCCAGAGTTAACTCCTATTTTTTTATTTGTTACCGCATTTGTTGCTGTGCTTTATTGTTCAATACGTTAGCTGTAGTTGCTTTTGTGCCGAGTTCGAAGCCACGTGCATTTTGCCGGTAAATAGCCTTACAGCCAGCCTCAGCGTGGTGCATGAGGTTCCTGTTGCTAGCTTCCTCAGGTGAAGAGACCTTGGACTGTCGTGAAAAATGTTATAATAAGTTATGTTACACCACCTAGGTAGAACATTATGGAACTACACCATTCGTTACCACATCTACGTCACTTATGTGATTTTCTAAAGTGTTTTTAATAGCACTACACGTGTCAGGGTAACATTAGACAAGCCTAACATTGTCACCAAGTGGCTCTTTTGCTACATACCGCAACACTAACACTAAAGAGCATTTATTAAAAGAAGGCTCTAAGCCATTCAGAATGGTTCTATGACAGAAACATGAATATAAGAGTGCCAAGACATCTCATCTTGACAACACCGTGGAATCAACGATTGAAATGAAAAATAAAATTAAATCTGTGTAACGTTTGTACAACACATGCTGTTGTGGTCAAAGTACAACTGAACGGAGCTTACCACAGTCATGGTGGCAGGCGAAGGCGACGAGACAGTAGGAGAGATTAATAGTAATATGGGAGAAGAGGCTGCGCCCTAAGGGAGGTGTGTGTGTGTACGTGTGATAGGGGCGAGGGGGTTGAGCCCCTAGATGCAGTAAGGGTCAGCACGACATTGTGACTCGCTTTAGGCTCCACACTCCACAGCTACTTCCGCTGCTCTCCGCCTCTAGTCGTAGGTAAGAATCCCCAGGCACCTGCGAGAGGGGCAGCTGGTGTGGAAGAAGGGCTAGTGGTGGGGTGGACTACACACACACATACACAGACGCGCGCGGAGAGGCAAAGGCCGCCGATCACCAGCCATGGGCACACTGCCTGCCTCGGCCTGCCCCTCCTGCCGGCACCCGCACATCTTGCGTTTATATTTAGCATGAGCCCCCAGACTCAATCTTGGGGGACACCGCCCCCTATTATGTGGCAAGCCCATTCCTCTCATGTGGCAAGCCCATTCCTCTCATGTGGCAAGCCCATTCCTCTCATGTGGCAAGCCCATTCCTCTCATGTGGCAAGCCCATTCCTCTCATGTGGCAAGCCCATTCCTCTCATGTGGCAAGCCCATTCCTCTCATGTGGCAAGCCCATTCCTCTCATGTGGCAAGCCCATTCCTCTCATGTGGCAAGCCCATTCCTCTCATGTGGCAAGCCCATTCCTCTCATGTGGCAAGCCCATTCCTCTCATGTGGCAAGCCCATTCCTCTCATGTGGCAAGCCTGCCTATCTATGTGACAATTAAGCTAGTCATTCTAGCTTAAGCTAGTCATTCTAGCTTAATTGCAAGCCCCCCCCCCCTTCACGAATGAGGCAAGAACGCCCTTAACACGTGGCAAGCCCAACTCTCCCATGTTACAAGTTCTACCCTCCTGGGCTGAACCCAGGAGGCCTGGGCGATGACCGGGCCGCTGGGACACTAAACCCCGAAACCATCACAAGGTAAGGTAATGGTCCCCGTGGTGTAGTGGTATGACACTCGCCTGGCGTATCGCGAACGCTTTGTCCTGGGTTCGTATCCTGGCCGGCGAGGATTTACTAGGCGTCAATCGTTAACTGTAGCCTCTGTTTACCCAACAGTAAAATGGGGTACCTGGTTGTTAAACGATTTGGCGGGTCGTATTCCGGGGGACATATGATTAAGGACCTGCCCGAAACGCTGCCCATGCTAGTGGCTGTACAAGAATGTAAGAACTCTTGTATACATAGATAAATTTAAAAAACAAAGCTAAAAAAGTAACTCCCACTTGGTCCAGCCTGTCCCGCTCACAAATGGCAAGACCGTCTCCACGCATGTAATCGGGATTCCCCATGAAACCTGGTCAATGGTATTCCTGTTCAACCGGCTGAGAAATATGCCACCTTCGCATATATACATGGGACGATATACGCAGTCATACGTATATCGTTTCCTTGCCTTCATTGCCTAGTCTGGTCATAACGATTTCAATGCCATGCAGCTGGGTCTAGCTACCCTGGCACTTTACCTCATACTGAAAACCCTTCCTCTCACCCCCACTAATTCTTCCCCTATCCCCACTTCCACGCTCACCCATTAGGGTATCTTGACCTATATTTAATTCATTCATTCATTCGCAGTCAACACTCATCAACAGCAGCTGGCGTACAGTGGTAGACGCAAAGCCTCCTGTAGGATGGACTTCGGGATACTCTACATCACCTCCAATTGAACCTCATTTAAAGACGATTAATGTGTTTCACCTGTAATCGACTATTGTTGAATTTGAACGAACTGTAAACTTTTCGTTTAATAGCAACACTATAAGACTATAAGACATAAGACCTAAACTAAGTCAACTTGGCCAAGGAGGCCTGATCGAGAACCGGGTCGCGAGGACGTTGAGCCCTGAAATCATCGCAAGGTAACTTAGCCTCTCTTAGTAATCCTAGGCCTAATTCGTACTATCTTTGGACTAATATAGGAATATGGGCTATAATATTTTGCCCGAAACGCTATGCGTATTAGTGGTTTTAGGTATTGTATGTACTAGTTTTTTATATAAATCCAACATTATGTTTGTAACTCAACTATGTATGTACTTTTCCTGAATAAAAATGTATTATTATTTTTTAATATAATAGGCCTGGAAATTTTTAAGTTTGGTTTTTATCTTTATTTTTCCTGACTTAAATTGATAGTACAAAAAGTGGTATACTGGAGGTCCTTCACTACATATTGGTACTTTCGACCAAATAATTACTTTAAGTACTATAATTTCAGGAGGATGGGTTGAGTGACTTCCGTTTCATCCCTCGGTTCTCTCCCATAAGAAAACGGCAGAGGTACTGTGAGGTAACCGACAGTGATGCCAGATTGGGCTACAAATAGCGAATTGGGCTACTTTTGAGAGCCCCGCGCTCCCAAATTTTTAATTTCGCTACTTGCTACTTTTTCGGCTAATTTAAAAGTAAGATGTGCTAATTTGGGCTATTAAAGTTAAGAATGTACGATTGCGAGTTACATGAAAGTAACTAAGCTATAAATAATTATAATTAATAATAATTGTAAATATTAATTAATACTAAATAATATTATTTAATAAATTAGTCCCAATTCAATGCAGAGTTTTCTTCCAAGCACAGAAACTTGTTAATATAAATACAAGATAATAGATAGATCGATAAATAAATAGACAACTTTCACATATTGCACCAAGTAATGGCGAGAGGAAAAACCTAGACAGTATACATTACATTTGAAATTAATAATGGATGAATAGTAATAAATTGGTGTATGTTTGTATGTCCATTTAATGGCAGAATTTAGCCATTTTGTGTAAAAAACTTTTATATATCATATTAATTATAACAGTAATCGAAGAAAGTCATAATTTGTATATACAAGAGATGAAACAGAGAGCCATGAGCTAGAGCGATGTGCTGAGTCCATAAGGAGGCCGAGCTTCCAGAAATACCTTCCTGTGATTGGCTGTTGCCGGGAATACCAACACTCTTTTATGAATAAAATTTAAACTAAGAAATAGGTCCTTGTGCACAACAACAAGGTTGTTGTGAAAAAGAACAACAATTTCTGTTTTGCACCTGACAGAAATCTCCATCTAACTGAATAATTTACTGGAATAAGAGGGCAGAGCAGTGTATCATTATTTGTGTCAAGGCAACCCCCAATAATAACGTCACAAGTTAGGTAGCCAGACCATTTTTATATAACATCTGTTATATCCTGCAATATTTAATTATCACTTTATTAACACTTTAAATAATTAACACTACACTCTTTTGGGTAAATTAAAGTTAAAGCAGAATTCCATAAGCAGGACTGGTGGGCTGAACTAAGATGATTTACTATAAGTGGATGGCACCTATAGCTGATCCCTTCCTGTGATTGGCTGTTGTGTGAATGTCAACGTTTATATGAATAAAATGCAAAATAAGAAATACGTCCTTTTGCTCAATAACCTTGTTGTTGTACAAAAGAACAACAATTTCTGTTTTGTACAAGACAGACATTTCCATCTTACTGAATAATGTAGACCAATAAGAGGACGGAGGCATTGTATCGCCGATATTATTTGTGTGAGGCAACTCCCACTGATGACGTCACAAGTCAGGTAGCCAGCCCATGTTTCTGTAACACTCGTTACATTCTGCAGTATTTAATTATCACAATATTAATACTTTTAAATACTTAACATTTCACTTTTTAGGTAGATTAAAGTTGAAGCAGAATGTCATAAGCAAGGATGGTGTGCTGAATAAAGATGATTTATTAAGTGGCTGGAGCCTTTAGCTGATCCCTTTCTGTGATTGGCTGTTGTGTGAATGTCAACAAAGAATATCTACCCACCCCATACCATCTGTGGGCGGAGCTTGGAACCTCCTACCCGAGCACAACAACCCGCCTTATGGGTTGCTGTTTGGATATTTATAGTGCGTTGGAAAAAAACTAGATGGCGTTAGTTGTATTTTGTAGGGTAATTTGTTATAAGTGTAATTTGATGTCAACAGATGGCGTAAGCTGTATCTTATGGCCACTGTTGACCAGCCAGTTGATAGTGTTCTCTTCTGCCGACAGATGGCATCAGCTGTATTATTATTACTTCCGAATTCCCTTTTAAACACTGATCTACAAATCCCTTGGCTTATGATAAGGTTTTATACCATTTATGATAAGTATTAGATAACTGGAGTTCTGCAATTACTTTTATTTATCAACTGTTCAGGATATCATCATATAATGTCTGGTTAGGACGTACTGCTCTCGATTGATGAAGATTAAGCCACCCAAGACGTGGCACGGGCATGAATAGCCCGTAAATACTGCTCGTAATATTATTCAGGGGGGTGGGGGAACTATCAAGTGAAAGCGCCAAGCCATTACGACTATATAGCACTCGGAAGGTATCAGGATACGGATTTGAGATGGAACGGGGGAAAGGAATGGTGCCCAACCTCATGGGCGGTCGGGGATTGAACGCGGACCTGTAGGAAACGAGACCGTCGCTCTACCGTCCAGCCCAAGTGCTTAAGCGTAATATTATTAAAACAACAATTTATGCATATAATAACAGCATTTCACACTAAAAATACTTGGATATATTGAAATTTTGTAGTGAATTCTTACACTTTACTTCATCTAGATCCCTATACAAGCCGAACTGTCAGAGATACTTGTAGCCAAGTCTTATACGAGCTGTGACAACATCTGTTAGTCTACTTTGTTACTTGCCCCATACACATGTTTTACTTCACACATTTACCTCTCCTAGCAATCCTAGGCCTAATTCGTACTATCTTTGGACTAATATAGGAATATGTGCTATAATAGGACTGGAAATTTTTAAGTTTGGTTTTTATCTTTATTTTTCTATACTTAAATTCATAGTACAAAAATTGGTTTACTGGAGGTCCTTCACTACATATTGGTACTTTCGACCAAATAATTACTTTAAGTACTATAATTTCAGGAGGATGCGTTGAATGATTTCTGTTTCATCCCTCGTTTCTCTCCCATAATCAAACGACAGAGGAGCTACTGTGAGGTAACTGACCAGCCCATTGTAAACATGAGATCTTGCTCTCGTGTTGACTGTGGGCTGGTTACATTCTCTCTTCCTCCCTCCTTGAGTTTGTAGTTACCTTGCATGTAACCAATGTCGTTACCCATTTTGTGTAATGAAGTTTTAAATAAAATAAAATGACAAAATATTCAATATATAGGGGGGTGGGAGGAGAAGTCTATGTGAGCGTACGCGGGTGTCCCTCAAGGCTTCCCCAGATGCTACATATCCTCTTCTTCGAGGCCGAGGGTCCCTACAAACGAAGCGTGAGGTGGTACCTCTATATAATATTTAGTATTTAAA